TGGAAACGGTTACACTATCACTCCTCTTTCTGTCATTGTCTATCTATCTACTCTTTAACCTCTTATATTAATACCGCCTTATCACAACTTCTCACTTGTTTACATTCCTGTCTTCAAAATGTGTGCCCTTTTGTGGCAAACCGAGTGTGGCTTCATCACACTTGCTATTTACCTTGACCCCTCTCTTTCGATCTTTCCGGTTGACCGATTTCACTCGGTTCCAGTCCCAGTCCCAGTCCCAGTGTGCATTTCACTCCAGGCCCTATTCCTCAAGTCCCTTCACTGAGCAGAGCGCCTAAGCTCTGATTGCCATGCTTGCACATATCAGGCCTTACCTTCACGGGTCCTCTCCTTGGTTTGTTCGCCGTCTGTACCTGTACCTTCATCTGCACAGTCTCTATTTTGACCTCGATTGGCAATTTGGTCAGGCAATCGGCAGACTTTGTGGAACGTGCCTTTTTCATGCACCTTCTGCCAAAGTAGTCACGACAACTTCCAACATCAGACCCTTGACTTGATGCCCACTTTGGCAGAGTTATTCACTCTATCGACGATAAACTGTGATAGTAGTTGTCATGACTCCCAGCATCAGACAGTGAACTTGGTACATTCTCAAACGTTTCGCCGGCATCATCAGTCAGTTTTGCCATTCGCCGCAACAAGCTACGAACTCGTCAGAGAGACAAGCGAAGCCACTTTCTGCCCTTTTCGGCGGAACATTTGTCGAGGAATTGACTTCACTTGTCTCCTTGACGAGTTCGTAGCCGGAATGCGGCGAATGGCAAAACTGACTGATGATGCCGGCGAAACATTGGAGAATGTACCAAGTTCACTGTTTGATGCTGGGAGTCATGACAACTACTATCACAGTTTATCGTTGATAGAGTGAATAACTCTGCCAAAGTTGCAGCATCCCGTTGTCGAGGCCGAAGAGACGTCTCAGTGGGCATCAACTCAAGGGTCTGATGCTGGAAGTTGTCGTGACTACTTTGGCAGAAGGTGCATGAAAAAGGCACATTCCACAAAGTCTGCCGATTGCTCGGACCAAATTGCGAATCGAGGTCAAAATAGAGAGTGTGCAGATGAAGGTACAGGTACAGACTGCGACCAAACCAAAGGCCACACTTCATCATAGATATTCATATCTGGAGTGAATACAGTTCTTCCATTTCGAGTGAAAGTGTGGTTGGTGAAGAGATTTGAGGCTGGATCCCACCAGAAGACGAGCACCAATGAATTCCGTTTTGGGTTGCGGTGTTTGCCGAGACAGACTCCTTCGATTCCGGTGAAAACGGGCTAAGCTTTTAATCGAAGGTATGAAAACCAAGATGGTGTGGCCTTTTGTGTGGTCGCAGTCTCCTTTCGTTGTATACAAGTTGTTTGACCTTGTTTTCCCAACTTGGTCATGTTGGTAGGAAGACTTAGAGGAACGCACCCAATCTGGAGTCCATTGTATGCATCATCATTTCCAGAGACGGACCGTGGACGTGGTACATTCCCAGACGTTTCGCCAACATCGGAATGTTTCACATCCACGGCCCTACTCTGGAAACGATGATACATACAATGGACTTCGGACCAGGTGCGCTCCTACCAACATGACCAAATTGCGAAAGCAAGGTCAAACAACTTGTATACAACGAAAGGAGACTGCGAACACACAAAAGGCCACACTTCATGTTGGATATTCATGTCTGAATTGAATGCAGTTCTAATTGTTGATCTCACTTCCATTTCGAGTGAAAGTGTGTTTGGTGAAGAGATTTGAGGCTGGATCGCACCAGAAGACGAGCAGCAATGAATTCCGTTTTGGGTTGCGGTGTTGCCGAGACAGACTCCTTCGATTCCGGTGAAAACGGGCTAAGATGTTGTTCGTCGGAGGACGAACATCATCACAACAATAAAGAAAATGATTCTCTTCACTTAGTTTCATTTGAAATGAAAGTTAGCTCAACAATGCTAAACCAGGGGATTAAACAAAGTTCGGACATTTCTTTGCATATACAGATCTCATGTCTACCAGATTTACAATGTACCATTTGATTCAACAAATGTCTGCATGATCGGTTAACGTGTTCATCTATTCACGTCAGTCTGCCCCACTTCGCCCACAAAGTCCACTTTGACTTGGCCCGTTTTGCGATGCAAGGAAAATTTGTCGTAATTTTACGATTGGACAACACCGTCAACTCGTGGACGGATTTTCTCTCCACTTCAACCAATCAACTCGACTGCCCTTGACACTTCGGCTGAACAGTCAATTTGCCCAATTGGGACGAGATCCGTGCTCCCTTCTGGCGAAGAGGAGGAAGAGCGCGGTCGCTCTCCCATGCAACGAATCAGTCGTAGGGGCAGAGACAGGGAGCGATCGAGGAAGTCGAAACTGCAGTCCACTTCAGCCGGAATGTGAACAACTTATATGAAAAAAGGTCTCTAAAACATGGAAATGGAAATGTCAGATCTATTCATAACATTGTGTGAAAATTCGACGATCAACTTAAACGAAATAGAGTGAATACATCAAATAGAGAATTGGGTTGACCTCGTTGTCACAACGTGGTCTTGCAGTCAGGGCGACTTAGCAAAACGCATCTAGGCCGAAGTTGTCTGCCAAAGTAGTTGTCATGATTCCCAGCATCAGAGAGGGGACTTGGTAAATTGCCAAAGTTTCGCCGGCATCATCAGAGAGTTTGGATAATGGCAAAACTACGATGACGGCGAAAGGTTTGATTAAAACAAAGTCAATCCACTTCTATGAATCAAAGGAGATTGAGAAAATACCAGAAGCCACAAAATGTTGGTCTTTATAATATCAAATATAAAACGGCAAGTACATACCGTGGCAAGCGACTCAGTCATAGAGGCCGGGTCAAAGTGCCAATCTGCCAAAGGACAAACCTGTTTGCAAGCTCCGATCTAATATTTAGGGAGGCAGTAGACATTCGGCAATGTAGAGGAAGCACTGAGCTTAACAACCATGAAACCATGTAGGTGGACTCATCTTATCTCAAATCAACTGATCTCATCCCATCTCTTTTCATCAGATCTTT